TGTGGCTTAGAGGTCAATGAAGTGGTTGTGAGAATCGTGAGGTCTCAGGTTTAAATCCCAGCGGAGACAAAAAAGCACTAGGTGGTTCTTTCCACCAGTCCTATCCTTGGTGGACAAAAAACACTAGGTGGTTCTTCCCAGCAGTCTTATCCTGGGTGGATAGAGTTACCTGGTAGCTGCTGCTGGTGGGAGGTATGACGGAGAGGAAGGGGGTGAATTTGTGACTTTGGGGTGGTGGGGTGAGGCAGGAATTGGGGAGGGGCAGGTTGGTTTGTATTTTGTGATGCTATGATGTGAACTTAATATGCCACTCTTTGGACTTATAATAGTTGGATGAAAGTAATATTAGTAACTAAGAAACCGCATTGATTGAAAGAGATTTGGTGTATATATAAACCCTCTTGCCTCAACTAGGAGGAAAAGAACTGAAAAATCTTGGTGTATTGTAGCATCAGTAACACAGTTGTAAGATCCCAATTATTGTTTAATGGATTATTTAAAACATGAATTGAATACATGAGCAGTTCTCTAGCTGACGATTTTGTACAAAACCGTCTCAGGTCTAAAATTTGGTCTCATAGTTTCATTTGGTGTGTGAGTTTATTTACGAGGAACTTGGTGACTTATCAGAGTCCATAAGAATTATTTGGTATATTTTGGTTGATCTTCTGGAAAATAACTCTTAACTATCTGATAATGTATGTATGTTTGTATTGATTGCTGATGATATGGTGAACATATGTTAAAAGAGAGGATTCATTAATACCTTTCAAACCTGATTATGTTTTGGTATGAATGGAGTGTACTCTTCTCTACAGTGCTTCTGTAGGAAATCTGCTAAATACTTGTTAAGTTCTGATCCATATTGGTCTTTCTGTGGTAATTCTGTAATTCAAGTATAGAAATTCGTATATATTTTTGTCTATTTGGATTCAAGTTACTTAATTAATCTAGTTGATGAAAAGGGCCAATGTGCTTTTCTGAATTATCTTATTTAATTCCTGAATTGCTCAATTTGTAGGGGACAACCATTTGAGTTAACAAATTTGATTTCTCACGGGATCTAGCAGGCAGACAGAAAGCAAAGTTCACATAGATGCTACAACATATTTCAGCTCTGACTAATACTGCATGGTGGCTATCTCAAAATGGTTCTACTTCAATTTTCTTTTTGTTTAAATTTAAATTTAAATTTTACAAAGATGCTAGTGAACAACAGAAATTTATATTAGCTCATCGTTTCGACAAAGTACCAGGATTCTTATTATATGTTTGTATAAGGTCTTCCGTGAAAAATATTTTGTGCTTCTTTTTTCAGGTGCTTGCCCTGGCGTGGTTGTGTATAAGAAGCCTCTGCAATGGGCTTATCCACTTCCGCTGAAGGTTCCTCTTCCCTCTTTCCTAGATTATGTACTTTTGCTCAAATACGTTCACTTTTCTTGCTTTCAGATTTTTCCATCATCTGCTATCAAGCTAGGATTATATGAAGCATGAAGCTAGTAATACTCTCATTTATGTATAACTATTCAGTACTATGTTTTCTTGTTAGTTGTGATGTGCCTCTTTTAACTTGTCTCTTGACTGAAATTTGTCCAAGTATCTTGGATAATATATTCAGAATTCTGTTTCAAGTAATTGGTACCCTTGCGTATTGTGTGTCAACTCATTTGTCTCTTGATCTTTTCATTTACTTAAGGTAGGATGATAATTTCCTACGGAGAAATTGGATCTTAGGGCACTCTCCTAGTCTCCTGTATATTACTGATGAGTCTAAAGTTGATCCAGATCTTGAATTTAGGAATTGGGAATTATTTGTGCTGTTTGTTCCAAGAAATCTTGAATTTGGTAAATGCTTACTGTTATTGCAGAATAAGAAAAAGAACTTTATTGAGCTAATGGTTTCTTGGCTCTATCATTAGTACCATGTTGCTGGACTACCTTGCAGTTATCTAAAAATCCATCTAACTCTCTGCATTCTGCGTCAGTGGGATCATGGGAGGGAACCAGTCTACTGATTGAACGATAGCTTGCAATCTGTTAGACCAACTTTTAGCTAGAGAGATGTTTTAGTAATAGAGGTGGATTGGAAGAGCTCTTGTTGGAAATTTATAAGGAAAGTGATGCAACTAGAGTTTGAAAATACAAGTTTATGATTGTTGCCAGCTTGAAAATTTTCAGATTTAGGCCGAAGGTCTCTACAGTTTTACGATTTCAGAGAGAGAAGAACATACATTAGAATCCTACAAATACACACCCTTAAATTAATGACTTTTTCTGAAGATACTTGAATCTTCTCAAGCTTTGAGACATAATGTCTCGAGAAAAGACAGAACTCCAATTCAAGCTTTTTCGCTTGAGTGATACTTCATTTGGCCTCCTTTTCTTCAATATTACAATTGTGATCCATGGAGAAAGGCAGCACCTTATTTTTTACTTCCATTCATAGTTTGGCTTCCTTCTCATAGTTACATCTTGAAATATTAATCTTAACATCCATAATTGATCAGTTCAAAACTTTGGTTACTGCTAAGATCAAAGTCGTAATGCTTTAACCATCTACAAGCAGTCAACTGTTGCTTGCATTCTTTCACACTTCAGTAAGTTATTTCATAATGTTCGAGAAACTTTATATCTGAAGTTTATTCATTTAGTTATTTTTTACTTTTTCTGAACCCTGGTGTTCATTTAGTGTTGCTGCTTTTCGGTTAAACATATATTAATCACGGAATTCCTTTGAGAAATTTGACCTTATGGTTCTTGCAATCTCTTTTATTTACTATGTATCTCCTCGGCCTTGGTTTATTCCTGATGTTTCATCTGAAGGCAAGTGTTTGTTTCTGGCTGCAGTTTGATCATAAATATAATGTAACTGGTCCAAGAAGACAAGGGACCTTTCTTTGTACTGATAGGAGGCATCCCCAAGGTCGAAACTCTAAGAAACGTGAAGCTGTGCAGCAGAATGTGGATCTTCCCCCAGTCCTGCCCAAGCAAAAGAAGAAGCCGTTTCCTATACCTCTGAAGAAAATTCAGCAGGCTGCGAAGGCTGATAAGAAGTTGGCTGAGTTTGGAATAGAAAAGAAGCTTGAACCCCCTAAAAATGGATTGCTTGTGCCTGGCCTAATTCCCTCAGCTTACGAATTGTTAGATGATTGGAAACTTTTGATTAAGGGACTTGCACAGCTGCTCCACTTTATTCCTGTCCATGCTTGTAGGTAACTTGTTAAAAAATGGACTGTCTATTGATTTTCTTGCTTGTTATATTGTGAAATGAGTAATTTTGCCATTTCTGTATCAACTAAGTTACTATGTTTTGTCTGCAGTGAATGCTCACAAATCCATGTTGCTCAAAATGGTCATGAGATTCAGGATTGCCTTGGCCCAACCAACAATACTCGCAGAAGCTTCCACTCCTGGGTGAAGGGATCAATTAATGATGTACTAATTCCTATCGAGTCATACCATATGTATGATCCTTTTGGCACACGCATTAAGCATGAGACACGATTCAACTATGACAGAATTCCTGCAGTTGTAGAACTTTGCATCCAAGCTGGTGTGGATCTGCCAGGATATCCTTCACGGAGAAGGACTAAACCCATCAGAATGATAGGAAAGAAAGTGATCGACATAGGTGGATTAGTTGAGGAGCCTAGACCCTCCGTAGACACAAATTCGGCTATTATGGACCTTGATACCCATCGGTCTTTTGAACGATTTGCTCCACCATTGGAGTCAGAGGTGCCACGTATTGCCCAGGAGACGATTGATGCATATGAGAAAGTGAAATGGGGGGTGACAAAGTTGATGAAGAAGTACACTGTCAAAGCTTGTGGTTACTGTTCAGAGGTTCATGTGGGGCCTTGGGGTCACAATGCTAAGCTCTGCGGTGAATTCAAACACCAATGGCGGGATGGGAAACATGGCTGGCAAGATGCAACAGTGGATGAGGTATTTCCCCCTAATTATGTGTGGCATGTTCAAGATCCAAAAGGAACCCCATTGAGGAGTGCACTGAAGAGGTTCTATGGGAAGGCTCCAGCTGTGGTTGAAGTTTGTATGCAGGCTGGTGCTCAAATACCTCAGAAGTATAAGCCTATGATGAGGCTAGACATTGTGCTCCCTGAAAGTGAAGAAAGTCGCCTAGTCGCGTAAGGTTCTACAAGCCTATGTTGAGGATATACATTGTGCTCCCTGACAGTGAAGAGAGTCGCCTAGTCGCATAAGGTTCCTTTACTAACTGTTCTACATAGCTAAACGTACACAGTGTTTGTGTTATAAAGATGTATGAAAGTCTGGAAATGTAGCTTTCATGATATTGTTCGTCTCTTCATTGGGTGAGTATCTATTGAGGCTGCAGTCTTTGTTTTGCCACTGTAATGTGAGGATCAGGGCACCCATTTCAACTTAGAAAATCAATGTCCACATAATATAAGTCCAAAAAGATTCAAAATTGGCAGGCAATATACCTTTTTCCCATTTTTCCTGATTGTTCTTGAAGACTACAAATATTTCAATAGAGTAAATGTATGATGATGAGAGATACATGGGATAGAATAGAGCGTGTAAAAGAAAAACACAACACATAATTTGAGAGGAGACGAAGGGTATAGAGCACAGTAATGTAAGTTACAAACCACAGCTTGACTGTCAACTTTCACTTTTAGCTGTTAGTACTCCCACCGTTTCATATTACTTCAGCCATGCTAAAAATAGTTGTTTCAAGTTACTTGGTTCAATTAATAAAATGACAGTACTCTTTAGCATTTATTTACATGCCTTCTTGCTTTAGCTTGTCCCACTTCAGTTCAAAATGTGCCTTAAATCAGGTCTTAATCTTTCTGCATTATGTGAAGTCCATGCTTCTTAGTTCATAAAATCAACATGTCACAAATAGATTAAGCTTGGTAATAGTAGCATAAGTTTGCAATTGACAATACGGAGTTTAGCTGCTGAAATATACACTGAGGGAGGGAAACGAAAAAATGAATGAAATACGGTACTCATTCCCAACAATATAATTAGAAAGGTATACAATTTCTTATTGTTCTGTTGGGCACATCTCAAATTTTTCCTCTATACATAACAGTGTGTAAAAGCCTCTTGATGGGACAGGACTTCCTACAATAGCAGGATCAGTTCATTTATCCAGCAAAATAACCTCTAAGCTATAACTTAACTGCTAGAACTTCAAGAGTCTTTCAGGTAACTGTCGAAGAGGTGAAGTGATCCATTCCAAGCATCCGTCCTGCTTGGAGGTGGGTAATGATACAAACAGAAAATTGACGCCACGGTAGTTCTCAGGCAGTAGGAGCATGTTCCTGGATGGCTGCTGCCAATTTATTACGATCCTCCTCTGTTTTCGTTCTTATCAAGAATGTTCGTGCAACAACATCATCATTGTCACCATCACCCTAAGAAATATAAGCAATACATTCAACCATTTAGTGCAGTTGGAGGATAAGGGAATAAAATAAACCTATGGCATCAAATAGAAACAATTTCTTCAAGTTCTAGCTTTGTTATTCTATAAGTAACTTGATAAAAACTGGAAATCACGGTAGTTAGAATGAGTGCAGCAGCACTCCAGAAAATGTCCATTGTTTTTTAAAAAAAAAAATACCATTTAAGCTTTCAAGAACCATGCTTGTTAAATTTACACTCACAGGAGTTTGTTCAAACTGGCAAGCATTTTTCAAATAAAATAAAAATTACGGATATTTTTGGTTAGGATTATTACCGAGGTATGGAATATAGCAACAACGGAATTCTTCTGCAAGTTTGTTTTAATGCCTTGATACAACAATGCATTAAGCAAAATTTTTCCAACCTGCAACAAATATAAAATAGGCAAAAAGTAAATGTTAGGTGAAATCTTTTTTGATAAGTAGAAAGGTTAAGGTGTGATCTAGTTCTCATGTCTAAAGAGCAAGACGACTGAAATAAGTAATTATATATCCAGCATTTATCTGGGAAAAGAAAAGGAGAAAAATGTAGGATGGACACAAAATCTTGTTTACTTTGGAGTGTCAAGTCAAAGAGAAGTGAAAATTTTGTCTTCTCGACCAATTCTGTATATCATCCCTAGAATAAATAACATCCCAAGCTTCCACTGTTATAATGTTATCTTTGCTATTAATTTTTCATATTTTATTTTTGATAATGATGGTGTCTGGGGTAGCTCGCGCACACCTGGATTATTTCACAGGTACCTTCAACTTCCCACCAATATATAGATACCTTTTTTTATTTGAGAAGGTAACACTTAGTATATATTAACAATACAGCACCTAGGTTTGTGCTAAAACCATATTTAAAGTGAAAAAGAAAAACAAACTGCTTCATCAGCCTGACAAAAAAACAAGGGTTCCTATCATTGAAGCAGCATCTCTATGTTTCTCTGGTTAACCCAAATAGATACTTGTAATTGCCCACTAAGGCTGTGTCACATGTTATATTAGTTATTATAATATTAAAAGAACCATGAAGAGAGGGGCAAACGAAAGAAGCTAAGTTCATGCACTACATTGGTGACAAGCTCAACTCAGCTCGTCATTTCTTGAGCATGACTTGAATAACAAAGCAACCCAAGCTCAAGCTGTGACGTGAACCTGTTGGAAATTAAGTTTGTATCTACCTCTAACTATTCAAGCTAGACGAATTCATTGACCAAAATACAGCATCTAAAAGCTAAGATCATTAGATTACTGTAAACAGCTTGACTGATGTCTGATAAAATATATTAGACCATGGCTTAGATTTGATTTGTTTATTCTTGAATATTGAGATATATTACTTTTTTCCTAAAAAAAATTGAGATCTCAAAATAGAACCATACATTTGGCAAGGAAAAAGTTACTTTAGGATAAGTTGAAGACCATTTGTGCATTTTGCTAGATAATACCAAATAAGAATTACAAATGGTTTCATTGCCAATTTTACAATTCTGCCTTTATAGTTCGACTGACAACTATATGCATCCCTTCCTACTAAAGATCCAATAAAATAAAAACTGAATAAAAGAACATTTCCTAGTTAGGACTACAACAACAATAACATATCCAGTGAAATCCCACAGGTTGGGTTTGGACCTGTTGGGAGTAGGGTATACTATAATTTATTTTATTTTGGATGGCGTGAGGGGTGCACTTGAAGCAACAAATGGTATAGAACTTACATCATTTCGTATCAGGATAGTTGGTTTCGATTCCCGGGTACCCTTGCTAACACCTTCTTTACACTTGATAGAAAGCTGACCCGTGCCCCTGTCTTTCCATGCATCTTTATCCACTGGATCAGCTGACTGAACAAATAGAATTAAGGAAAAAGAAATGTCACAGCCGAAACAGATAAAAGATTGAGCTAGACATCTCAAATTCAACACAATTTTGATACATATAAAATAAGTCATAGCTTGAATTTGTATCTGGAAAAGAATGTTCATGGTCAAACTTTTAGTATGATGTACTTGAGGCATGAAACTGTAGTGCCTTGATGACAAAAGGCTGAATGCAATGAACAAGGTAAAAAGTAAAATGACACAACAAAAAATGGTGATAATTTTTATATGAGATATTACCCATCAACATTGCTGTATGAGATACTTTTTGTATCATTTGGACTAACATCTTATCTTGACCTTCTCAAATAAATTGTTATATGAGATCACAGAATGTAGCAATCTGTATGAACAATTTGTTTAGCATACTAATGTCCTAAACAAGAATTACTGCAATTTCATGCAAGAAAAAATGCAGAGTCACACATGCAAAACACAAAAGAATACAACAAATCGGACATGATTCAATGACCACCTCTGCTTGCTTCACCTGCTGAAAGCTACCCTTGCACATGTCATAGAGCCTAACAGCAATTATTATACAGAATGTTGGCAGAATAAAAGAGTAACAGCTATGACATGCCTCAGACAAAATTGACCATCACAGTTCAGTTCATCAGTCACTCGTTGTCAACATGAAACATGCCTAAGTTACTAATCATAAAAATATTGATGCAAGAGAAGCAGTATGAATAAAAATCAGAATTCTTAAAAGATGGTATATATCTAGACTAAATATAAGTGAAGTTCAAAGACTTTAAAAATGGGTAACCATCCAGTAATATGATTTTCTTTTATTGTTATAGCCATCCAGTAATATGATTAGAGCACCAAAAAGGACTATACATGATATATTTCTTCCTAAACAGAAGTAAGCACTTGTACTACGTTACCTTCACATAAAGTTTACATTTGACCTCATGGACAACAGTGACTCCCTTTTCTTCTGTCTTCTTCACAGATGGACTGCTTGGCTGCTCCACTTCATCTTCTGCATTACAAAAATAATCTCCACAGTTATGGAGCAAATAAAAAAAAAGGGAAATCAAAAACTCCTGAGGCCAATAGTGAAAAATTAAAAGAATAGTCTCCAAAAAATTTTATGAGATGAAATCCTTTGATACAGCCCAACAACTTCTTTAGTATAATACAAAAACTGTATGCAGGGTCAGTAAGTGTTTAGACTGTGTATATGACAGTATTCTTTTTTTCCCTGTTACACTTCATTTGCCATGCTATAAAAATTGAGAAAACAAAATCCTGGTCGTTTTAAATGGCTAACAGTTAACACTAGGTATGTGACGGCCTAGTCTTAGATTGACTTGTTTTCAGCATTAGAAATAGATACTACTGCTTACACAATATTATCCTCCATTTGTTCTGTAATCATTCATTAGTCTTTAGTTCCTACCAAAATCTGTTACATCAAAGGTGTGACCTTCAAGTGATAAATTTGAATTGGAGCAAACAAGAACACACTTGTCTCAAACTCCAAAGTTCATGTTCTAAAATCCCAAAAAGAAAATAAAACAATGGTATTTCCCCTTTACTGTTGACGGCTGCTCCAACAGTAAAAGGCTGCTCACCAAGGCTCGGTGCTTGTGCCAAATGGAGGTAGTAGGTAACTAGTGGAATAGTAGCGGAGCATGCAAACTGGCAAGGACACCACCATCATAAAAAATGTTAATACTCTCAAAGTATTAGGCATTTAACCTCCACCTTATGGTTCAGATGAACAACTACTAAAACTTAAAAAAAAGAAAAGAGGGGGGGGGGGGGGGGTAACCGGTTTATACTGACATATGACGAGTTTCAAGAAGCACGAGAGATTTAGAGGTAACTAATAACTTGACCTAGTGAAAATCAACTGAAGCATGAAAACACCAAATCTTACCAGCATCTTGGACATCATTAGCAGCAGCAGTTTTCAGAGGTACCAAATTCTGGGTTTGTACAGAAGGTTGAAGCCCTAAAAGGATAAGCAAGTTCAGCAGTCAAATAAATCTGTAAGCTATTTGACAAAATCAAAAGATTATATGAGCATGGAAGAGACTTGACCGGAAGAAAAACATAGTTAATCAATCAGAGGTGTAGTTGGTGATGCAGTCCTTTCTGTTCTCCCCAATTATCTCTTCCACCACACAATACAATTACTTTTGGTCAAGCAACTGAATAGAGCTTTTGTTTTTACATAACTGGAAACATTACAACTTTTTTTTTGATAAGGGGAAGGCAGAACATTTGGTAAATTGATAACAAATTGGTTCATCCCATACTTTCTTAACAGCTGAACTAGGCTATTATGCATCAGGTGCAAGATTGGTTATTTATTTCAATCTTCGGAAGAATTTATGATATAATATATCCCACTTCCCTAGATGTAATGAGGATTGATGTATCCTAAATAACTGGTCCATGATCACAGAACTACTGCAGGAAACTGACTTCAGAGAAGTGTCACATCTGTGTATTAAATTAAAAATTCCATAAAAAATGACACCTCAGTTCAGATTTTTTTCCTTTGATTCACTTCTGCTACATAGCAGCAGTGAGCTAAATTAGTCTAAGAACAAGCTAATACTATAACAGGATCCAGTTATTTTCTTCCCTACTGCTAGAATAATAGAGATATCAGAATATTAAAAAAGAGTAAAAAATAGAAAAAGAAAAGCAATAAAAGCATCCAGGATAAAGAAGACTCACCAAATGAAAAGGGAGTTGTTTTGCTAAAGAGAGCTCCTGAGTTCCATGACGCACCAAAACTTGAAGATGAATTAGCCACAGGAGCATCAGGTTTGGGAAAAGATAATCGACCATCACTCTCCTTATTTTCTGACTCTAGGGTCTTCAAAGCAGCTTGGGATCCATGTGCAGATTTGATCTCTCCATTGGAAGAATTAGCTTTCAGCCAATTCACAATGTCACTAAACTTCTCCTGCAATTGAATAACCACAATTGAAACACCACCAGTATATGAAGAAGCAGATATCAAGTCCTATACATGTTCATTTTCATATGAAAGCTTTCATCAACTAGCACTATTTTAGGCGAGTTCAAAACAGAAAGCATGTCTGGCATACAATAGATGATATGCTCTTCCAAAAAACCTAGCAGAAATATGTTGACCTGCCCTATCTCAGCAATGAATTAGCAAACTAAATTGCATCAATATGGGGAAACTGAATAAGGAACACATCCTCAACTAAAGCAATTTATAAAGAATCTTTGTAGTGTGTGTATATACATTTACTGGAGTAACACTCATATTAACTGGCTGAGAAAAAATTGGAGCATGAAAATCTGAGAGATGCCAAAGATACCTTGATAGTTGAAGAATGGTTTAAGTAGTCTTGAATTCCATCTTCCCAAAGTTCATCAGGGTTGTTCTGTAACTGTGCTTGGACCCAACTGCTCATAAAAAACAGTAGAATTCACTAATTCAATATAGACTCTACATCTGCGAAAGCTTTTTATCCTCCAGTGAGACTAGCAAATTCAATGGAGATGAACAAGAAAGAAAACAAACTCTCTCTCATAAAGGAGAACAACCAGTGAGTTAACTACAGCAAATAAATGAAAGCATAGATTGACATGCTGCTACCATGTTTGGAGGAATAGAGTGAGATTCCAGAGAAAGCAAGTTTGACTTTCAATTAGATCAGGTTTCCACGTTTTCACTTTTATTTATCCATTAATACCAAATGGTATTGTTTTCCTCATCTTTTTTTTTTTTTTTTTTTTTTGGGGGGCGGGGGGGGGGGTGGAGGGATTGCATAGATTCAGAAAGAATGTGAAGAGATAAATTGTCCATAGAGAGCATGACAAATTACATCTTGAGAAGCAAAGTAGTTGAAACAGAAAGATGAGAGACCTTGCGAACTGAGTATTGAGAGCTCTCACATGCTGTCTAGATGATTCGGCCCTTTGCATATCTAACTGTGGAGCCTTCATTGTTTGTGGTTGGGATTGCTCAGCCTTTTGTGAATCAAAAATTGATCCCATTATTCTCTTTCCTTGAATCTGCTTTGGAACCAGCAAACACGTAAGAGATACGAGAAGGGTCAGCACAACTATCTACAAGGATTCTACTAATATTTCACACAAAAAAAATGCTATCTGTACACAAATTAGATGAATTTTCCTCCTTTACACAGTTGAACTAAGATTTCGAACAACAGGGCAGCTCTAACCAATCAATAAACTATGATCTCCATTCCAAATTAGTTACTCTCAGCTCTATGAATATTCCTACAATCCTCTTCCACTTTGTTCACATCCATCTCACTCCAATACCAAAAAAATCATCTTTTTAATAGAATCAACAACTCTAATATCCAAAAATTCAAACCACATACTATTAACTAAAAAAAAAAAAAACCTCCAACACAAATTTGACTGCATTCGCTAGTTTACACACTTGAAAAGCTAAAACTTCAGCACAAAAGAGCAGCTTTAAGAGCTATGCTTCAAGTTTCGCAGCAAAATACACTGCATATAACAGTTGAGAGTAAAGAAAAGACAAACTCACTGAGTCGTTTGTGAACGATTTGGAATCGGACGGAGCGAATCGTTTGGTTCCTCTCATCATCGAGATTATTAAAAACACAAATTCAATTTCTGAATACACAGAACAATTTGGGATTTTGTTTCAATTTTTTTGAAAATTAGGGTTTTTTGTTCTTCTTGTTGTTGCCAGTGATGAATGAACAGAGAGTTGGAAGAGGGGAAATAGTATCTGGGCCGTGAAATTGGGTTTTGGGGCATAAATATTCAATTCGGATCGTTAGATTCGATTATGGAAAATTTAGGGCTTGACGGGTATCGCCGTTGGGGGCCATGCTGTTCTCGATAATTATAAGGAGTCGTTTGATAGAATCAGTGGCGGATCTATGAAGGGCTGTGGGGGTGCCACGCCACCCCCGAACTTCGACGGAAACTCTATATATACATAGGTATATATATATAATATTTATATAAATATAAAGCGTGTCACCCACAGAACAAAATTAGCTTGTCGTGCCACGGTAGGAGGACAACGAAGATTGATGTTGCGAGTTCGAATCCCATTTGGCACCCACGGACTCTAAATCCTGGATCCGCCACTGGATAGAATGTATTAAAAAAAACAATGCATGCATTAATTTATGAAATTATTAGTGATATTAGTAATTTTAATACATATATTAGCATGATTAATGATATCGTTGTTTCTTAAAATCTTCTTCATATTCTTTCCACCATATTTGTAGAGGGTATATCCAACACTATTTTTATACACCATATCAAACGATTTTGTACAAGTTTGTTGATAGCTGATTCTGAAGAGAGTTATGCACGCATTAAATTTCGCATAATATTATGTTTGGTAGTTAATTTGGTGATAAATTAAGTATATATAAAATTATTAATGTGCTTGATTTTCTATTTGATAATCCATATAACAAATAGATAGTATTAGTTATAAAGAAATTTATGTATAACTTATAATGTGAGTACTAGTAAGTTGTAATCCATATCACATTGATAGTTTTCGGTGCAAACTCAATCGGACTCTAATGTGAGTATGAAAATTTAAAAAAAATCTACCAAACGGTCCCTTAATAACGGAGCACTAAAAACGGCTGTAATTTTCACGTGGGACATGTGGTATTGTCTTTTTAGCAGTAATTTGACAGACACCCCAGCCACATCCTCATGACACAGTGGGACCCAGCACTTCTAAATGTTTTTTTCTTAAAAAAATAAATAAATTGTATCCGAGCAAGGAAAAGGATAATGGGAAGGGCTAGAGGAAGAAATTCCATTTACTACCAATAACTAGCAGGTTTAAGTGTCAATATGGGTTGTGGTGCAGTGATGAAAACTCAGAGGTCTCGAGTTTGAATCCTGAATATAGAGAAAATCCTATTAGAATCATCATTTCTGAATGAGTCGTGTAGTGGACAATCTAAGTTCAAGTTATTCGAATGCGCCTCTAAACTAAATTAGCTAGAGAATTTTTTTTGTTTGTCTATAAGACTATAAATAACTGGTAGACCTATAAGTTACATGTTTGAATGTGTCAGTGAATTTTATCTATAATGCTTGTTTTAGGATAGACGACCTATTTTATATTTTTTTAAATATGGCCTTTTCCTAGACTACGCGTGAAGGCAAGATATCTCTTTATAAATATTTTTTGTAAAATGTTTTCAACACTTCAAAATCAAATTCACTTTCTCAATATAAACAATTAAAAGATTCGTATGAATGTGCCAGTGAATTCTATCTATAATGCTTGTTTCAGGATAGACGACCTATTTTATATATATATTTTTTAAATATGGCCTTTTCCTAGACTACGCGTGAAGGCAAGATATCTCTCTGTAGATATTTTTTGTAAAATGTTTTCAACACTTCAAAATCAAATCCACTTTCTCAATATAAACAACAAAAGATTCAGCGAAATCCCACAAAATGGGGTCGGAGAAAGATAGAATACACACATATTTTACCACTACCTCGGAGAGAGGTTGTTTCCACCACTTTTGCTCAATATAAGTAAGAGAACAATGTCAATCAGTCATCTACCAAAGAAATGGGGATCAAGGAAAGTGCACAATTGAATCCAAGAATTCCCTTGAAATCTTTTTTGGGAGTTATAAATTTACACAAAAAACTCCACCTTAATATAGAGCTTTTAATATTCTTTTTTTTTACAACCAAGAAAATAAATAAAAATCAAAAGAAAGCAAATAGGCTTAAGAAAAACAAAAACAAAGTGGTTAGCAGCAACTAACTAAAACTTATTTACTTTTTTAGCTCATACTAATGGTCTCTTCTCTTCATCTGCAGTATTTTCTGATGATATGTTTTCCTCTTTGTGACGACTCCGCCTAATATTATCCGATTTCACAGCTCGTTGAGGAGGTTTACTGTCAGGCAAGAGGCGCGAAACAATTCCCATTGATATTAACAGCAATCCAGAGAAATGTTGTTCGGTTAGTGGCTTAGTAAAGATCAAGTATGACAACAACAATGTCACAGCCTTTCTTGCTGTTGTTACCTGTTATATGAATCGATATGTGTAAACGTGTCTTTCGTTTTGAAAACTAGAATGAGAGAAACGAACAAGAAGAATACTGTGACATTTAGAGGATTAGACAATCAAGAGATTTACCATAGCAGTAGCGGCAGCACCAAAGATAGCAATGAGTGATAAAACTGAAATTTGACCGATGAATGTGGCCATTGCTTCAAATACCAAGACCCCATAAACATATGGATGCTGCAAGATACACAGCAGAATGTGAGTGTAATTTAACTTCGTAGCAGCCAGACGAAAAGAATTTTATCGAGTTCTACATATGTCATCATTCATAACTAAATCTGTGGATATATAATAGAATGAACGTAAATAACTAAAGATTAGTTGAATGTAGAACACACTGTGATAATAGTTACTCATTCTGTTTCACATTGTGTTGCTCGGACTCTCAAAAAATGTTGTTGCACCCGTGTCGGACAGTCCAAAAATGCACTTTTTTTGGAGTATCCAACACTCACCCATTGATATTTTTGAAGAGTCAGAGAAACATAGGCTCTAAATGCACAAATCTGACAAGATCAAATAAGATTGCAAGAAAAAGAAACTGTATGCTGGATCAAGGGATAGTAATGCCTAATTCAAACCATTCGAGACGAATGTATTCTCTCAATTCGTTATTCTCCTTATCTCAGGACAAAAAAACAAAAACAAGTGAACATGGTATAATATAAAAAGAATTAGAGGGGGATTTCTTTGTTGACCTCAGAACATGATTTCCATGCAACCACAAGTTCTCCTGTTAGTATCATGGGAAGAAGTAGAACAGGAGCCCCAACGACTGTCGAGCAGAATAGCATCTCCATCTGATAAAATTTAGCGTGTCAATCAAATTAGCAAAATTATTACTCGACATACACATGTGCTAGCTTTAATCAGTCATGTGGCAAACCAGAATCATAATACCTGAGAAGTATCAGGATTCAGTGTAAAAATCGCTTCCTGCAGATTACCGAGAAAAGAGTCCATTACCAGTGCACCAGTTATCATAATGACACCGATGATACTGAAATTCGGAGAAGTATTGGCATCTGCTAACGTGAAAAATACCAGGCCCCCAACGAAAAGCACAGCTGAAACATATTCTTGAACCGGGTATTTTCTCCTTAAGCTAGGCATAAAGGCGCCCACTACCATTACCGGTAGTAACTACACTCCAAAAATGAATATAGAAGATTTAGACCAATGTCCGGATGGATTGGCTAGTACCATCACCACTTTTACCAATATATTTTAGTACTGTGAAGTGTAACGATTAAGTTTTCAGTGTACCTTAGTGGATTTGAACATGATTTGTGCTGGATAGTTTAGATAAGCCAAGGAGCCCTTTGTTAATCCATGAGAACACATGAGTACAACAGAGAGCTTCACATATATTTTCCACGGGTTCACCATTTGCTTTGTGGTGAAACCTTGTATACGTATGAGAAATAGATATACAAAACCTTGTACAAAGGTAAAATACCACCCATAGCTGAAACCATGATTGAGAAAAAAGTGTCACAAATAACTTCTATGTGGATAATATGATAATGATCAAAGTGAAAAAAGTAATTAAAATTTTGAAGGAAGACAGTAGCCTACCTGAATCCCAGTCGATTGTATACATACTCCTGCAAATAGAAATAAATAAAATTGAAGCATTTTCTTCGCAACGTGGAATTTGGTTACAAACTAAGAACAAAATTAAACCTAACACTGATAGAAGAGAAGAACATCATTAAAAAGCACTCAATATCAAAGGATTAAAAGGGAAACGCGGTGCTATAAGCTCCCGCTTTGCGTGGGGTCCGGGGAAGGGCCGTACCACAAGGGTCTATTTTACGCAACCTTACCCTGCATTTCTGCAAGAGGTTGTTTCCACAGATTGAACCCGTGACCTCTCCTGTGCATCCACTATACAAGAACAACTACACCTCAACCCCAACTACTCGGGGACCGTCCATTTTACTCTATATAAACCCATTCCACCACAAATATCAATTAATTTGAGGTTTTGTAACACTAGAAGCTCTCTACATTTCCTAATGACATACAAATCACTAGATAGACTAAAAGAAACACTCAGCCTAATGTAAGCATCCTAGTTTTAACTAAGCCTTAATATAGCCCTTAGGAAATTACCCTTCCGGAAAACGTTAGACTTGAGTTTAATGTTCGCTCATATATTTCTCAACCTTACCGACAAAACACTTGATTGTCGTCTAAAGTTTGCTCAAATGGTATCTTTAGATCGTGGTCTAAAGGTCCATAACTTGCAAGACAAATAAAAAGATGGTCATTCACTAATCAGCTCTCCCAAAACTGGTGAAAATTTCCACAAGCACACAAACGACCCCTGCATCTGTCAAATATCTCCTGCATTTTCATTTGTATGATGTCCCTATAACAGAAGAAAAACAGTAACTATTGGGCAAAACTTTAAAGTCAATGTAACAGTAATCCAATGATGAAAAAACACTTATAAGAAACTTCCTACAAGAATATATATTGTTTGTGTTACTTCCTTTTTTAGTTTGTTTTAAAAAAAAATGTTTCTATCCCTTTTTGGCAACTCACTTTTCATGTGTCATAGTTAATATCACAAGATTAAAGATCATTTCGTACATTCTACATATATTTATTAAACAATTTCAGAAGTTCTTTTACTTTCTTAAACTACATTACAAGTCAAAACTGAACAAACAAATCAAAACGGAGGAGTAATATAAATGAAAAACCATAGAATATTGATTGAAACAGGGAAAAAAGAAGAAGAGAAAAGCATGAAACAGACCTCACATAAGCCATTAACAAGATAACCAAAGAAGAATCCAGAAGAGCAAATGAGGAATTGTTGCCATTTGGGTCTATCAGTTAGTGAAATCCCAAACAAAAACCTTGCTTGATCATCACTCTTCATCTCCTTCCTCTTCCCTCAAACCCCTTTAACTCTAACACACAAAATAATCAAAAAAGATTGAAACTTTTCAAGGAATTCAAGAAAAAATTCAAAAACCCCTCAAACTCTAACAAGCTAAAAAAGTTTAAAAAGGTTGCAACTTTAAGCAATTCAAGAAAAAAAAAATCAACACCCCATCAAACCCCTCAAACTCTAACAAGCTAAAAAAGTTAAAAAGATTGCAACTTTAAGGAATTCAAGAAAAAAAATCAACACCCCATCAAACCCCTCAAACTCTAACAACCTAAAAAAAGTTTTAAAAAAAGACTTCAACTTTAAGAAATTCAAGAAAAAAAATCAACAGCCCAATAGTTGCATGGTCTCTTTTTTGAGTGAACAAAGTAAGAGAAAAGGGCAAATGCAACACCAACAAAAGAATGAAAAGGTTCAAGAAAAGTATCAGATTTTTTGCTTAGACTTGTCAGTCACTCAATTTTCTCTTTCCTTTACTTGAAATCCCTATTTCTCTCTGCTTTAAATGGAATTAAATCCTAGTAAATAACGCCCTTAAAGAACCAAAAAAAAGTGGCCTTGAAAAAAGGAGAAAATATGGAATGAAAGATTATTGAAACAAAGTTTACTGAGCTATATTTGAAGCGTTACTAGATTGCCATATTAAATTAGTACTATATATTATAGGGTTCACATTCTATATTGTAGAATTGTAGAAAACTAGAAATAGTCTAAAAATAGTTTTTCATTTTGTTTTAGTACCGTTAATAATCTGTTTCATTCTCCTTCTTTCTATTGTTTTTTGTTATGACTTTTTCATTTTTGTTATTTTTTGCTAAACTGTTTTGAACAATATTTTCTTGAGTTTTGTTATTTTTGCTAAACTGTTTTGAACAATATTTTCTTGAGTTTTGTTATTTTTTGCTAAACTGTTTTGAACAATATTTTCTTGAGTTGAGGATTTGTTAGAAACAACTTTGATAAGGTCTGCGTACACCTACTTTCCAATTACATTGATATGTTGTTGTAGCGTTTCATTTCGATATAATTTTTCTACATTTTTTAGAAACAATTTAATGATAAATTTTGAAATTTTCTATTACAATAACTAATATTATGTCTTGTTCACAAATAGTTGAAGTTCGAAAGTTATATGAATTTTTATTATTTTTGTTGCTTCGTTTTGATAGTTTTACGTTAATCGATTGCTAATTTACTTTAATTCTCGCTTTTTATATAAATTTGACACGAACAATATAAGCCAGCCAAGAAACGAATTGAAGTTAGTATTTATTAAGTTTCTAATTCTAATGACCTAGATTTATTTGAAGTAAATTGAAAATAAAAGTAAGAATCAACATTAAAATTAAATGTCTTACGTTAGTACTTCGAATTTAGTCATTTTAAGAAGGAAGTGCAATTGGTGTAATCTTTTTTAAACCAAGCTCAAGCTAAATTGTTATAAGCATAATTCTTGATGGTATATGTTTATGCAATTTTATATTATAGAGAACCTTTTAGTAGACAAGTAGTTATTTCTATAACATGTTTATTCGGAGTGAATTTCAATTAATATAAATAAATAAATTTTGAATATTGAATGAAATAAAGTTTGTGACCGTCCAAACTAGGAAGTAGCACCATTTTTTTCATCGGCAAAACCTTTTCCCAATACATTAATATCAAGTACAATTAAATTATCTATCGTAAATCAATGAAGTTTCTATAAAATAGATTAATCAGAAAAAATGTACTCTAATATTTTGTCTTCTTATAATTTGAATTTTAAAAAAAAAAGTCTTTTAAAATCTTTTTATGTAAAAATGAAGATCTCTTATATATAAAAATGAATTCATTAACTTTTATTTTATTTTGTATATTTATTAATAACTTTATTCCATAAACTTAATCATCATTATATAATAATTTTTAAAATTATTATTGAAACTCATACTTGGAATTTGTTCAATTTTATCAGCAGAATTTTGTATGTTTTGGGGTCTAGGGAGCAATCTCCGTAACTTCAGGGGCCATATTTTATTCTTAACTTTTTGTTTTTTTTTTTCCATTTATAGTGTGTCACAATATTCACAGTCATCCTCTATGAAATTCTGTGACAAATTTTAAATGATTTTTTTGCACCGAGCCACCGATTAGACAGATATCGTGATTTTATGCTTAAAATATGTCTCTGTCTTTTTTTGTTTATCAATTTAGTGTAAATTAGAAAATAATCGAAAAGATTTTGATAATATATAAAAACGATTCGTTACTATATTTCTGAATTACTGACTATACCTTCCTTACTTTGACAAACTTTTGTGTATATATAATAATATAAATCTACACAATAATATATGTAAGGGTAAATTTCAAGTTATAACAAAAATAAAGATTACTATAATAAATGAAGGTGTTGTGGGGGATATGATTCTTAATTTGTGTTTTGCCACTATCTGAAGCTTAAAGAGCCAAAAAGTCATTTTCTTATTATGTAATTTAAGTATCTAACAAATATTAGGGACATTTATAGCAAAAAGGAAAAGTTACACTTCTCTTTTACGTCTACAATTTGCATTTAGCTAATTTTTAGCTTGTCTTTTTAAAAATAAATAAAATATCAATAGAAAACAAATACAAGAAATGTCAAATACACTTTCCTCCCTTAACTTTTTCACTTGGTGACAAAAAATCCACCTTACATTTTTAAATTGTACTTGTGACCCCCTTCAAATGTAAGTTAATAATAAAATGGTAAATTTTTCGTTAATAGATTCAAAAATATTTTTATTCAAGGTACGCTTCTCCATGCTGAATAAACTTATAAAAAAAAAAAAATCTCAACACAAAGATTAGGAAGAAAGAGAGTGAGGTACATCCTGAGCGCGATCAAACTTACTATCTTCCACTTAAAATTTATGCACATATACATCACTCAACATCACAAAATAGTGTAATACTAGTATCTAGCACTAACTTACGATAATTGAACCACCTCTAACTAGGAAAGGGTATGGATGGAGCTGGGGAGAGCGTAAGTAGAAGCACGTCATAGTTCAATTATGTTGTCTCGATAGAGAGAAGTACCTATAATTAGCTTTTCGGGAATTTTTCAAGCGAACAATTTCAACAAAATCTTACCATTCTTAAATTACTACTATATTCAACTTTATGTATTCCCCCGCTTATGAGTTTAAAAGAAGCTACTCTTTCCGTTCCAATCTGTTTATCTGGTTTTGACATCACACGAAATCGTTTCAATCTATTTATTTGATTTTGACATCATACGAAATCGTTTCAATCTATTTATTTGGTTTTGACATCACAAAAATAAAAATGACTTTTGACATTCTTATTTTGCATGCAATGAAAAGAAAGACAATTGCTAACACTAGTGATCAACTAGAATTTATCATAACTTGATCTAGAAATGGAGTACAAACCAAAGTTCTCTTCTAATTCAGCATTTCACCATTCATCTTTCTCCAAGGAAGAGAAAAAAAAAGGAATGAGATCAACACTAACAACTCTAATTCAAAAAAGCCATTTCAACAAGGTGGTCTTAATCATTCTAGCTTAGCCATATTATTCTTCTACTAGCAACTGAATGACAAAAACAACCTTGAGAATTGAACATAATCTTGTTTCCCTAAACTCCCTGTTAACTATGCTATGGCCTGTGTTATTACCACACACTCTGCACTCTGCACTCTGCTAGCTCAACATGACATCAACTAACACCTCATTCATCAAAGATGCAAAAATGTCAACTTCCACTTCAAATATCACTTCTTGTTTCTGTAACTCTGTGTTCTTCCATTCCCCTCGGGTTTCAATGGCTCTAATGTAAGCCATCCTGTTTTCTTGCACCTTCCAATCTAACAGTACATCAATTGGTTTTCCATTTATCCAGTCTTGTGCTAATTCCAATGGTTTGTTCTTGAACTCATCATCACCATTGAGAATCCTTTCCTTGAAGAAATCAAAGAGTAATTTCTCTGTTTTTAATTTTAAGGTATAAGATGGCATTGATTCTTTCAATTCTTGAACCATGTCTAGTGCTTGTCTTTCAACTCTCTGTTTGTCCTCTTCCTCCTCATCAACTTCAGTTTCTGATGAATTGTTGAGAGGAGATTCACTCTCTGATTCTGAGGACGCGATTCGTTTATCTAAGTTGAGTGGTTCTAGCATAGTGAGACACTCGAATCGTTTGATCTTCTTCATGAGCTTCTTGGTAGTTCCTGATACAAGTATATTTATAGAAAATCAATTTTGCATTCTCCTATAATGTTTAATGGTTAAACTGGCTAGCTCTGACTACCTTGCGAAGCAAATAAAAGATCCCAAAATCACACTGCGATTGATTAGTAATTTACCTTCAACACGAGTTAATCTATGTTGAAAGGGTGAAGAGACCTCATCTTCATCATCAAATGGACAATCCAATGTAGACACTGGACTAAACTGTTCTTTCTCTTCATTAGGCCAAGGTTTCTGTAAAATAACAAGGAATATTAAGAAATATTTGAGGATTAGCTCCAAGATTAGAAAAGTAAAAAAATGACTTTTTGATTTGTGTATAATTAGAGAAAGATAAAAGAAAATAAATGATCAAACAAAGGGGGCTACACAGATCCAACATGTCTCTTAGGGTCGTTTGGTAGAAAGATCAATAATGCACGGATTAGTAATGCACAGATTGATAATGTAGGGATTATTTTTATCAAGTGTTTGGTTCATTGTTTCTTACCTAGTTTTGTGTGTGGTTTAAAACTCTACAAAAAAAATTCTTTTCAATTATACCCTTGAGTTATTATGGGATTTTCTATTTCATGTAACTGGATCAAGGTAGATAATTGACGGACAATATTTTTTTATATAGCATTTTAACTAGCTAGGAGAATAAAAATTTTATTGTCATGTTCACTATTTTCTCACTTAAATTATTTGAGAGTAAATAATTGTCATCTTAATAAATTGGAGTTAATATCTCAAAAGGTCACATAACTATAATAATTTATAGAGAAAATTTATTGAACTTTGTTTTGTATTAATAAATTTTTTTAAAAAACTCTTTATCATAAAATAAAATTTAAAAAATAAATAAATATAGCAAAATAAATTAAACTATTTTTATACTCGAGATGTTTTATATATATATATATATATATGCTCTTGTTTTAGACTATTTGTGTAATGTTTAATGGACTTCCGTTAAGAGGCAATATTTGACTTATGAATTGTTCTTAAATTCATACATCAACATTAGCATATTAGTCGGATTATAATATTTTATATTAATAATAAATAGATTAAATAACTCATATTTTAGAAACAAAAATTATATCTAAATAATAAAATTTGTAAGCTAATTTATTTAAATAAATTTATTAGTATAAATATAAAACATAAAATCAAGAAAATAAACAAAATGATTAAAAGGATTTGAGGGGGTATTTTTGTCTTTACCTAGATTAGTCCCATGGTATTAGAACAAATACCACCAAGTGGAAGGTATTAGTTATACACCCTATAATACCATGTAGGGTGTATAACTAATCCATGAACTAATTATACATAGATTCAAAATTCCTACCAAACATAGTACTAAATAATATCACACATAATACTTGGACTATTTCTCCTAATACTCCCTGTCAAACGACCCCTTAATGTAGTAGGGGTTATGTTCAGTTGCTCTCAATCAGTATGGCCCCTACCTTAGCTAGAGTATCAATAGAACTTAATAAATGTTGGTGTCAAATGTTAATAAACTACTTTAGACACTCGAATTGTAGTAGGGATTATGTTCAGTTGCTCTCAATCAGTATGGCCCCTACCTTAGCTAGAGTATCAATAGAACTTAATAAATGTTGGTGTCAAAAGTTAATAAACTACTTTAGACACTCGAATTTTATTTTTTTATTCCACTTCGATGGGACTGTCTGTCATCAGTGGGAAAAAAGATCCATCTTCAAATCATAAGATTAAAAGAAAACTATAGAATATATCACCTAAGTTTTATGGGCTCAATCTTTAAAATTTATAATTTGAACCCGTTATGAATCTATTGTAATGTACTTCCACGCATTTATGTTTTAGGACTACTAGATTCAGATGAACCTACTATTAAATTGTTGCATCAGCCTTGTATAGAAGAATGAGACTAGCCAAAAGGAAATCAAATTATTGATTTTTCTTCTAAAAAGTATATTCTTGAGTTAAAGGTATGCTTACACTTTACCCTTCATAATTTCACTTTGCACGAAGTCTTCGTGAAATTACATTAGATATGTTGTTATTCTAAAAGATACAAGTAGTTATTCCCCAAGTCTCTAATTACTTGTTCACTTTTCCTTTTTTAGTTGTCCATAATTACTTGTTCATTTTGACAAATCATGAAATGACATTTTTTTTTACATATTGTATCATCAATTCATTACTTTGAAAAAGGTAGAACTTCTTCAAAATTTTAAGTTTTTAATTCATCTACTTTATAATTAATAGGGGTAAAATGATAAACTCACTATATCAATCATTACTTTTTTAATAGGTGTGTCAATTCAAAAATGAACAAGTAGTTAGGGATATATATTACCTTAAATTAGATTACAATTGTGGAATATTCATTTAAGAATTTCCCAATCTCCTAGAGTAATCTCTTGAAATGTGAGGAAATAAATAAAAAGTATAGGAAAGTTATGGACACTAACTCCTAGTCAACTTTACTACTACTCCACTAGACAAAGTATGTGACTTATGTCTACCCATATTGAAATTACAAATTTTTTTAAAAAGAAGGGAGTTCCAGATCACTAACTAACATTTTATTTATTTTGATTTGAGTCACACTAACTAATTGACTAGCTTTTATAGAAAAACTTTTATTCTAAGGAAACATATGAGTACAAGTAATTTTGAGCTACCAAGGTCCAAGCAATAAAACAATTGGAAAATATAAATGTTCCCACATGCTAATAAATATTATATGTCCAAACAATAAAACTATCACCTTCTTCCTCTTTCCTTTTATGTTTGAATGATTATGCAAGTTAGTATTTAAAACAAATACCCTACGCACGACCGACACAAGTACAATGTGATGGATATCAATCTTCTCCTAAGTTTAGCTTGCCACAAATAATAAAAAGAAAAAAAAAAGAATCCATAATGTTATGATACACAATAATTGAAGATATTTATATACACAATAAATCTATTTTTTTTTCTTTTAAAGAGTTAAAATATATCTGATTAAATCACTTGGCTCATAATATAAAGACTTTAATCTTTTGATTACTATGTATTTCATTTATTCACTGTCAGTGATAACCTTCTACTTCACAACAGAAGAATGTATTGGTGCTATCTTGTTAGGAAGACGTAAACAAAGGGATTGGACCTTTCATATACTAATATAGTGAAGTCTTAAAGACTCTATAGAAATCATTACTATACATAGCAATTAAATTATAATCTTTTTTTTTTTTTGTAATAGTTTCTTTATCTCACTTGAAATTTGTATTGAAATTGCACCTATATTCTTTTGAGTTGATGGTCACCAGAAACAACTAATTTCTCATACAAAAGTAGTAAACATATCACCTGTATCTTTTTTCAGATTCTACTTATAAAATATTCTGAATTCGTTATTATTGTATGATAAAATTATTTTATATTATAACCGAACTAACTAGGAATAATAATTTTTGAATAAGAAAATGACATTTCATATTTGGTTTAATACATTCAACGAATTGCTATCCACAACAATTGTGAGGGTCAAAAGAGGGGGGTCCCGGGTATTTTAGGAAACAAAATATATCCGGTACTAATCTGCTATCTCGACTCCCACAATAATAATACTAGTCTAACATTTCTGGCCGTAGATTCCGCTAGGGGACAAACACATAGCGGGATCTACGCCGTTGGATCACCCGACTGTAACTTAGATGTCAGTATCGAGAAGCATGTGATAAAACCCAAAAAGTACCGCGCACGTGTACTCTTCACATTTACTACCTTTTTTTGCTCCTTCCTTATCGCTGTGAAAAATTCATTTCTCTAGAAAATTCTCATTTTATTTTTTTTATATATATACAAATATTATTTCAAATTTCTTACACCAGTTTTTTAAAAAAAACTCTATTTCAAAAATTTGAATTTACCTGCTTTAATTATACCTAGAGAATCGAAATTTATTTAATAGTATTATTTTTAAGTTGAACAAGTAATTATACCTCTAATAATTACCTATGTTTGTCTCTCTTAAACCTTTTTAGACTATTTTAATCCAAATACCATATTCAAAAATTTAAACCAATTTTACCGCTACAATTTGATTACAAACTCAAAACCTAACCAAAAACTAGTATAGTAATAGTCATACTAAAATGTGATTACAAACTTTTACAAACTTAAAATCTAACAAAAACTAGTATAGTAATAATCGTTCTCGATTGCTTAAGACAAAAAGCTACTAGTCAATGGCGTAGCCAAAATACCCTTATTATTGCGCTGCAAGTTTTCATTGGTTCGAAGGGTATTCATGATACAATATGTACCAATATAAAATAAGATTTGACTTATATTTATAGTGTAATTTTTTGATAAAAAGTGTTCAGTTAGACACCTTGATATCACCGTAACTCTGTCATCTAAGTAAGAGTTTATTTTAAAAATTGTGTTTAACTAATACTAATAATTGCTTTAAACTTTGCTAATGAAGAAGAGGTAAAATCTCAACTACTAGAAACTATTGTTTTACCAAAATCCACTATACAAGTGGATTACTTGATGATTGATTAAACCGATACTCTAAACGAGAACGATATCATCAAAAGAAAAGTAACTTTTATAATCGATATGTAATAAGTTATATAAGTTTAAGTTAAAAATGAAACTGACCTTTGTGTTTGGAGAGTTGGTAGTGCTACCGTGACTGCCTATGGTTGAATCTGATGAATCATCTCCGGTAGTTGCGCCAACTTTTTTGCTGCAAATCACATTTTCCGTTCCTAATTTATTCGAAGCTACGGCGTCGTTTACAGTTTCCATCGAGTTAACCTCCGAATTGCCGCTTGATGTTTGCAGTGAATTATCACTTGAAGCAGTGAAATCACTATCTGAAGACCAGGTGTTACTGTTACATTTACTCTTACTCACAGTCGTTGTTGAGCTATTTGAATCTCCGGCGATTTTGCCAATAACAACCGGAGAAAATACCGGCGATTTTAATTCCTCTTTATCTAACCGGTTGAATGCCGTCCACCAGTAGATCTCCTTATGATCGCCTCTCTTCCAGAAGCTTCGTTTCAGCTTCCGCGAAATACTCCTCGGAAAAATTGTCCTCATCATCGGCTTCTTCTTCTTCGACGTCGATGAAGACCTCACTCCGGCGAACGGGAGATGTTTCACGGCGTTAATCACCGCCACGGAAGCTTTCTGAAATGCAGAAACCTTCGCCGCTGCTGCAGTTGCTGCCGACGGCGGCGATAGTTTTGACCGGAGTATTGGTTTAGTTTTGTACGGCGGAGGAGGAAGTGCTGGTTGATACTTGTTCTTCAAGTCGATTTCGAGAAGAAATCGAACAGTAGTGCAGCATTGCCGGCGAGGATATGATCGGAAACCGCTTGATGAACAGGAACTCAAATCATCCAACAGGTAATCTTTCAGCATTAATGTTTTCGGCAATGGTTTCATCAATTTCGAATCCATAATCAAAAAACAGTTTGAAATTTCAAATTCGAAGACAAAAATACTACTTGAAAGTAAATAACAGTAGAATCAGATTATGAGAATGAGAAAGAGCATTTAATTAGTTACTCAGTTTAGTAGAGACAGAGAAAACTCATACAAAAAAAAAGCTGTTACTATTTCTGCAGCTTTAACTGATTGCTAACAGAGCAAAACAGTGAATGAAAATTTAAGAAGGGGGCCAATGGATGGTGAAATAGATAGGCAGCTTCTTCAGTTACTAATTTGAAGATCTCAAGAAAATTAGTATTACTGGCAAAATAAGAAGAAGAAGAAGAAGAAATGGAAGTTGTAGTAGAAGTAGAAGAAGAAGCATGGATGCTTCTTGTAGAGATTTTTTGAATCTCAAGTTTGATTAAATTAATGAGTTTGAATTTAGTTTAATTAAATGGAATTAGCTGGTGATTTGATTACAAATCTCAGCTTGTTAAGACTTGGAACTGACTATTAGTTGACCTTGTTAGATTAAAATAATACTCCCTCTGTCTTATTAGAACTTTTCAATTTTCGAGAGTTAAATAATTTAAGTTTGATAGTAAATTTACGCTTCAATATATATATATATATATATATTAGTAAATATGTAAAAAGTACTATAAGTTACTAAAATACTGTAAATAATAATTCAAAATATTTAAAAACCATATGAAAAATTTATGATAAAAAATAGATTTATTTGAATCTCAAAATTGAAAATAAAAATACATATCAGATGAATTGAGATGGAGAGAGTGTGATTTCTTTCTTCCACGCGCTGACACTCAGTTATCATGCGCGTGCAGCGACTATTTTGCATGGCATTAAATGTCATCGCTGGGATTGTTTTGCAACTATTATGTTGAGTTTTGAGAACATGGACGAAATTTGCACCTAAATAGTTAGAAATAAGATTTATGTATATTTTATTATTTTTTATTTAGATTTACGTACATAGTATGGTTTTCAATTTTTTCTTGTGGATCACATTATATATGATTTTTATGTAAATATATACTTATAAAGATGGTATTTGAGCCTTAAAGTCAATTTGCACGCATTTGAATTATTCAATCATATACTTATTAGCTTCTATTATCATGTATGTATGGTTGTTTGGTGGATATAGGTGAGCCACGTGTATTACGTTAACTGAATTAAAGGTTTTAACATATGAGAGGTAAATTAGATACATAAAAATAACAATAGGGGACCCTATTATTATAATAGAATTTGTGTCGCAATCAACTTGCACTCATTTAGACTATTCATCGAATATGATTTATTGCGTTCAATCAGCACATGTATATATAACTATGCTCACCAAATTTAAACAAATGAGGAGAAATTATTTAACTACTTTTGTCTCTACCTAGATTTGGATACTAGATTATAGCATAAAAGGGGATACTAATTAAGAAGGTATAGTATACGACTTGGTTAGCTTATAGATCTTGATAATTACTTAATACTTTTTTTGATAGTGTTCCAAATTTAAAGACATTCCCATTGAAAAAATTAGTTGGCCAGTTCAACAGATACAAATTTGAAGGAAATCTTTTTGTTGGATCAACTTCTTCTAGTTGACTTTTGTATCTAAATTAAAAGATCCATCTCTTCTTGCCTTAAAGCATTATTGACTTTAATGTCTCAATTTCTAACAAGGATATATATTTATTTATAATCATGTGTTCGGACCAGTTTTTACGTACACCAATAGAACAAATTGTCTAATGTTTTTATCTCTATAAAAATTTGAACGTGAGATCTGACGATTCTTGTCTCACTTCATTGACCACTAGATCAGATTCTTAGTATAATTTCTAATAAGGATATAAGGATACAAATTGAATTCCAATGCCTGTATGAGTACCACAAAAGAAAAACATTAGAAAAGTACTCTATTTATTATCTTCATAAATTTCATCAATGTCTAGATATATATTATTTGTATATATAACATTTCACCTCTCTGACTATATATACTCCATGTGACTAATGCCTTGAAGTTTCATGGCACCCAGTTATATGTTTGTGAAAGTTCTGGATATTGGAGTAAATTGATACATCAATGATATTGAAAAGTCCCCAGTAGAAGGATGAGTGGTAGGGTATAACAGAAGACCTTTAAATGTACACTCAATATGACATATTAGAATCTCCAATAAAAAATGTACCAACTTTTTTATGTGAATTTATCGAACATTATGTTAATTAATATTCAGAAACTGTTAATATATTCCAAACTGATATGACATTATTATTTGGAGACCGGAGAGTAAACAATTAACAAGTTAATAATTCTGATTTTATATATTTTTAATGTAACAATTGTATTACATTATGGGAAAGTTTTATCTTCCGCGTAAAAAATATTAGGTTCAGCCATTCAGGAGAACCGGTAATAAAGGGCTACACTTGTCTCTCCTGCTTGACACTTACATTGAAGGGAATTCATTCATTCAACATCATCAAGTGCATTCCTTTTTTTTTTAAATTTTCATTGGGGGTTCGAAATTCATATAAAGCTTCAATTAAATTTAATAGGATGACGCCTCTAATAATATAATGTTTGATTTTGAGTTTATTAAGGTGACACAAAAACGTTTAAAATAGCTTGCTAGGGAGTTTCTCTATAGGGCCTAGGGGTACAGATAGCTAGGTTACCTAGTCGATATGTTTTTCCCACCTTTTTGGGCACATTCTATTAAAATTCAATCTTTACCTAGTCTATATGTTTTTCCCAATTACTTTATCCATTTTAATTAATTAATAAATCTTTTTTAAAAAATATATATTTTAAAAAATGTTTGTTTAAAAAATGAGTGAAATGTATAATTCAAGCCTTAAAACTAAAATTGATATAGTGACTTGGTCAAATGAAATCTAATGAAAAATAGATCTGATTAGAGTAATTAAAAATATTTGGATGTATATAATTTTTTTGGAAAAGGGCCAAAAATACCCCTGTACTATTTGAAAAGGTTTAAAAATACCCCTCATTCATCTATTGGCTAAAAATACCCCTCAGTCAACCTTTTTGGTCCACTATTACCCTTTAAACTAACAACCTTATATTTTTTAAATTATTTTTATTATTAATTATTACGTGGCGTCTTTCTATTGGATAAAGTTTAATTTCAACCCACCAACTATTATGTTGAGTTTTGAGAACATGGACGAAATTTGCACCTAAATAGTTAGAAATAAGATTTATGTATATTTTATTATTTTTTATTTAGATTTACGTACATAGTATGGTTTTCAATTTTTTCTTGTGGATCACATTATATATGATTTTTATGTAAATATATACTTATAAAGATGGTATTTGAGCCTTAAAGTCAATTTGCACGCATTTGAATTATTCAATCATATACTTATTAGCTTCTATTATCATGTATGTATGGTTGTTTGGTGGATATAGGTGAGCCACGTGTATTACGTTAACTGAATTAAAGGTTTTAACATATGAGAGGTAAATTAGATACATAAAAATAACAATAGGGGACCCTATTATTATAATAGAATTTGTGTCGCAATCAACTTGCACTCATTTAGACTATTCATCGAATATGATTTATTGCGTTCAATCAGCACATGTATATATAACTATGCTCACCAAATTTAAACAAATGAGGAGAAATTATTTAACTACTTTTGTCTCTACCTAGATTTGGATACTAGATTATAGCATAAAAGGGGATACTAATTAAGAAGGTATAGTATACGACTTGGTTAGCTTATAGATCTTGATAATTACTTAATACTTTTTTTGATAGTGTTCCAAATTTAAAGACATTCCCATTGAAAAAATTAGTTGGCCAGTTCAACAGATACAAATTTGAAGGAAATCTTTTTGTTGGATCAACTTCTTCTAGTTGACTTTTGTATCTAAATTAAAAGATCCATCTCTTCTTGCCTTAAAGCATTATTGACTTTAATGTCTCAATTTCTAACAAGGATATATATTTATTTATAATCATGTGTTCGGACCAGTTTTTACGTACACCAATAGAACAAATTGTCTAATGTTTTTATCTCTATAAAAATTTGAACGTGAGATCTGACGATTCTTGTCTCACTTCATTGACCACTAGATCAGATTCTTAGTATAATTTCTAATAAGGATATAAGGATACAAATTGAATTCCAATGCCTGTATGAGTACCACAAAAGAAAAACATTAGAAAAGTACTCTATTTATTATCTTCATAAATTTCATCAATGTCTAGATATATATTATTTGTATATATAACATTTCACCTCTCTGACTATATATACTCCATGTGACTAATGCCTTGAAGTTTCATGGCACCCAGTTATATGTTTGTGAAAGTTCTGGATATTGGAGTAAATTGATACATCAATGATATTGAAAAGTCCCCAGTAGAAGGATGAGTGGTAGGGTATAACAGAAGACCTTTAAATGTACACTCAATATGACATATTAGAATCTCCAATAAAAAATGTACCAACTTTTTTATGTGAATTTATCGAACATTATGTTAATTAATATTCAGAAACTGTTAATATATTCCAAACTGATATGACATTATTATTTGGAGACCGGAGAGTAAACAATTAACAAGTTAATAATTCTGATTTTATATATTTTTAATGTAACAATTGTATTACATTATGGGAAAGTTTTATCTTCCGCGTAAAAAATATTAGGTTCAGCCATTCAGGAGAACCGGTAATAAAGGGCTACACTTGTCTCTCCTGCTTGACACTTACATTGAAGGGAATTCATTCATTCAACATCATCAAGTGCATTCCTTTTTTTTTTAAATTTTCATTGGGGGTTCGAAATTCATATAAAGCTTCAATTAAATTTAATAGGATGACGCCTCTAATAATATAATGTTTGATTTTGAGTTTATTAAGGTGACACAAAAACGTTTAAAATAGCTTGCTAGGGAGTTTCTCTATAGGGCCTAGGGGTACAGATAGCTAGGTTACCTAGTCGATATGTTTTTCCCACCTTTTTGGGCACATT